TGCCCTTAGTTTACTTGTCCACACACACAAAAAGTGGAAAACAGAAAGGCCAGTTTCACAGAGTTGCAGTTCTGTTTATCAGCAATTCTGATTAGTGGACAGAACCAGTGGTTTTTAATTGCTCTGTTAACTAGTCATCCGTGCAGATTTCTACCCAGTAATGACAAACAAATTATTCTTGTGTGCTTTTGATAATCACTTGTGTTCTCTTATCATAAGAAGAAGTAAGAAATTTCAAGACAAATCTTGGAGGCAGCCTTGGATGCAGGAGAAGTAGGAGGTCTTATTGTTTAGTTGAGATGGAGAACAATTAGAAAAGGATACAGGCCAGGCACCACTTCTTTCTTTGCTCATTGAAAGTATAATGCAGTTTAAGGTGGAACTTGATCCGATCAAAAAACTGCAATTGTGGCAATTTTCTGTAAAATGTGTCCTGTACCTCCAATTGTTTTCAAGATAAGAGCTACTTCTGAATGTGTGTTTGAGAACATGATGAGTAATCCCCAAGGCTTTGAGTTTTGTTCCTTTGAATTAGTAATACATGTGTTTCTTTACTCTTGTTTTGATTTTACATTGGAGTCACATAATCTTTGAAGTGCTTGTTTTGGTTCTGGTATGCCAAATTCTGAGTTCCCTACAACTCTGCATTTAGCCCCTACTCCCAGATAATGACTAATGACACATCTGGAAGGGCCACTGTGTACGGTCAATTTTTCAAATGTAACAGGATTTTGTTTTCTTTTTCTCACTTGCTACGCTTACGTTTCCCCAGAACATCTGGAGCACAAGACTGCATTGTACCATACAGCAGCTGACTTGTCCAAAATGCAGAGAATATACTTGCCCTGTACTCAGAAAGTTACTCTGGGTGCTTGATTGGGTTTCAAGCAGAATTCAATGAAGTTGTTTTGGTCTTGAAATGTCTTGGTCAGAAATGAGGAACATGTGACTTTCCAGACTTTCACCAGCCTTTGTTAGTACAGACAATCGTGAGAGATGATGTGGAACTGCAGCCCAATAATATCTGGAGAACCACAACATCTGAAGGACCCTTTCCTGCTCTGAATTACCCAATCATATGAAGAACTGTTTGTTCCCGTCTCAATCTGCCCAATTATCAAGGTGTCAGCATTCCTGAAGCTATATTCATTTTGCCTGTTGCTTTGGAATACTTGTTTTCTCTGAATGGTGCAGCACACAAAATACAGATTTTGCACCCTGTAGGCAGGGTAGTGGAAAACGACATGCTTACTCATAAAATACAGTGTATGTCTTCATCCAAGATTTCACATGGTGAATAATATTTAATTTTTGATGGAAATTGTGGAGCTGGATATAACTTGTTACTGTTCAGATGATTCAGACCATTGTTTATTTTGCTTTGACCAATGAAATTTAAATCCTTCAGTGATTTTCTTTCCGCTATGTGAGATTACAAGGTGCTGTACATGTTTTACATTTTAGGACTAGTTGGCAAAAAGAGCACGGTAGCAATTTTTTTGCACAAAAAACAACCTCATATTTTTCATCAGAAACATTGTACTTTCTGAAAAAAACACTTGAGCTTTGCCAAAAATACAATTTTTTTTAAAAAAAATCCAAAATATAGTTTTTTGTCACAAAATTCAGTGTTTCTTGCACAATACTAATACTGTGGATGCTGATGGGAAAAAAAAATCTTTTCACTTACACAAGGGAAAAGTCTCACAGCAGTTGATTGTTTTTTTTGAACAAGGTGTCTTCATCTGACAGTACCAGTGCTCAGAAAGGTACTTTTTACAAGGAACTGTGTTAGTTGTTACAACTAAGTTGTTATTATCATTATCATTGCTTGAATCACATTAGCAATTGGTTCCCTTGTGTTACATTGTTGTTATTACTAGCAGATCAAAAAAATAAAGGGAAATCTACTATTCTTCATTCTAATGACCAATTCTGATATTCCACCTGTGCAGAAATAAATAAAAAATATTGAATAATATTTCCCTTACCACAATTGATATGAAAATGGCATAAATCCCCCCAGCAATTCCACCTAAAATTGTGTTTAAAGGTAACTTCTGAAAGTAACTAGAAAATGTTACTCATTGCACCTACATAAGATTGCCATACTTGTTATATCAGTTTTACTGCAACATTGTGACTACTTCTTACATTGCTGGTTACTCAAAATAAACTACTGTAGCTACAAGCACCTATGTTACTTGTAACACACTGCTTCCATGCTCCAGTTAATATTAACATGTTATTTTGTCAAATATAAGAGAAACTGCATTTTTTGTATTTTGCTCTAATTAGCTCACATTCAGGGTTACATTTGATTTATCTTTAATTTTCTTTAATGATTCATATTTTCATGAAGGGATTGCATTCAGCTGAGCTGAACTCTTCAACACCTGGGCATGATAGACAAGAAACAAATTTTTCAGACTCTTAATTTCATGTGAGCCTTTCCTTTGTACATGTGCATATGGATACAGTTGTGTGTCTGCTCAACCCACAAAGAATTCAGAGATGTTTTCTCAGTATGTCCATTGGGCCTTGTTTGAAAACAGGATGATTTGAAAAGATTTGTCTCAAAGGCACCCAAAACAGAAATCCCTTTGCTTCTGCTGTGCTTTCCAGATTTTGTGTCTTACTTTGTAATCTATGTGCATTCCTATCGGATTCCACCCCCCCCCCAAGTAAGGTAAATATATCTCCCCTTCTGTTGTGTGATAGTGTGATATCTGGATGCTGCTGCAACAAATAAATAAGAAACAGCACATGGGTTGCACAGTAAACTCTGCAAGATTTTTGTTGCCATTGAGATGGCGTCCTGTGTGCTGTTTTAGATAAGTTGGGGCTGCCTATCTACAAGTGGTCCTCACATGCTTTCATAATATTTAAACAACCCTTTACCATAGGCAGGCCTGTTCATTTGGTCAGTTTTGGGACACAAATGCTTCAGTTCTGTGGGAAAAGACCCTCGTAATCATGTTTTCCTTCCGTAATCCTTACAGTTCGTTATTTGAATGGAGAAGCTCATAGATAAATGTCCCCTTTGGCTGTGAGAATATTTAAAGGCTACCTTGTTCTCATTGGCACTGGGCCATATGATTGACAATAGGGTATTAAGAGAGATGTGTTTCTAGGAACAAATGACTGAGATCTTTAATAACCTAACTACTAGTATTGGAAAAGGTGACAAGGGCAAGCAAGAAAATTGTCTTTGGATTAAAAAGCAGCATGTCACACCATCTTCTTCCAATATACTAGAAATACAGACTGTCATGTGCAGTATCTTTTCTTCCTAAAAGTAATTTTCTTTGTAAAACTTTGTAGGTTGATTGGTTTGATTGTTGTTGTTTTGTTTTTTAAAATCAAAGTTTTAACTTTTACATGAATAATCTGACATTCAATTTTTTTCCTGTAGACAGTTTACCTATATCACTGTGCTGCTTTTTTAAAAGGTTATTGATCCATGCTACATATTAGCAAACAAAAAATAGTAGACTAGCTACCTTTGGGTCAAGCAGTGAGTGAACACCACCCAAGAATCAGAATGAACCTTGGTTTTCCCTTATGCCTTCAGTTCTTTAGATTGGACCTCTCTCTTCTACTGATACTGTTTAAAGCTATGTGGATGTGCATGTATGAGAAGCAGGTATCTTTAAAGCTTTACTGTGGTTTAGCTATAGAGAAACCTTGGATGTTTAACAAGCTGGGGAAACTGATGATTTCACTGAGGCTTTCTTGTTGGGCAGTTATCTCTTGTTGATGTTTCTGCCATGCAGGGATAGCTGGTTAAGATTACTGTATGCTGCTTATGATCATGTAACAACTTTCATCCTGGGCAGTCTTTGGATTGATGTCCCTAATTCCAAAGTTACTCAACTTCCCACCTTCTCCCATCCCCATTACAATACAAGTTTTGTAGCCATGGTGCATTTTCAAATTCAGATTAAAAAAAATTAAATCCAACACTTTGCTGGTAGTGCAGTCTTAGTGCAAAGAGGGTTCTTTCCCCTCTCCTCTGTATTCCTCATACCTGCCCAAACCACAGCCCCAAAGTGTCTTGTAGCCTTGCAGAACAAGTTTTTGGAGTGTGTATTGTGAGGGTGCAGTGGAAGGGAAGACTATGCCCTTCTCCTGATTCCAGATCAATGGTTATTGGACTAAAACTCCCAGAAAAAAATCACTAACTGTGCTGGCCAGGATTTCTGGGAGTTATAGTCTAAGAACATCTGGGGACCCAAGATTGAGAACCACTGCTTTCGATGACATTGTTCTACCAATGAAAGTTTAACACTGGATGCTGCTGGATAGCTGCAAGCTGCTTTTTTCCTGTTTGAATCAGCTGCATCTTGTTTGAACAGAATCAATCAATAAAAGTATCAAATTTGGCAAATCCGAGTTTCTTCCATGTCTGTTAAGTGATCTTAATAAAATAGAGAGATGAATACTGAAAAAACGGTGGGATTTTGAATTACCATTACAAAGTCAATGAAATGTCAAGTTAATTTTTACTGTCTTAGGCCCTACAGTATTCCAGTAATGGCAAAGTCCGGATCAAACCCGGTACCTCCTTGTTGCTGCTCTATAAGAGAACTGTGACATTTATTTCCAGATAACTGAATTATTGATCCTGGGAGCTTTAAGTTATTACTCAGAATTAATCAGTACTCTTCCTATGGATAGTTACTGCTTAATTGTTGAGCAGTAAGAGGCCGGGCAATAATCAGAGTCTAGTTTTCTCAATATCAGTACACTCAGCTCCTCTCAGGATTAAACACTGGCTTCTTTGTAGGTGGTAGGCATATTCTTTTCGAGACTAATGTGAGACTTTTGCTTTCAGGGTTCTTTGGGGAAATGTTATGAAAGTTAATTCTCCTTTTATGCAAATAAACTGAAGTGAGCCATATGGTGTCTTTTCCCCCACAAATGTTACTTTATCATTCTGTTTCCTTGTTTTTACCAGTATTTCACACACCCTTTTCTTCTTCTTTTTCTCTTTCAAGATAATTGTTGGAGAAACTGCAGTGTTTTGCTTACAGATGGCCACACGGGATTTTGAAAACCAAGAAAAAACAATATTAACTGGAGACTGTTGCTATATAAATCCACTGGTGCGCAGGACCGTCAGATTCCTTGGTAAGTGTGCCGCATGTTACTTTTAAATTTTCATACCTCATTCATTTTTTCCCCCAACTAAGTCTCTTGTTTGCTGAATTTGCCATATTTACCATGTATTTGTGTGGATCCAACTGAATTCCAAAACTATGAGCAGTGCCCCCATTACTTCCTTTCACAGTGAACTCCGGGTTTGTCTACATGTTGTGAAAGGGAAGGCTGGACTGAACTGAATAGGGTTGCTAGGAGGTATGGTATACCACTTGGTGTGATCCTTGCATCCACATGGCACATGGGCCTCAAGTGACTCTATTTGGTCCACACCCTTTGCAAATTTGAGGAAGGCTTGCTTTTGGTACATTTCCAGCAATCACACACACTAGAAATAGACAAACAGAGAAATTCTATCCATGTCAAAAAAGTAGAAGCCCCTGACAGGGGTTCAGAAAGATGTAATAGGGGCAGGTTGGCTCACTCCAGCAAAAATGTTGTCTGATCACAGTCTTTAGGAGCAAACCAAATTATCACTGCAGCAGACCAAGCAGCAGACTAAATGCCCATGTAGTCAGCCTTTCAGATTTGTTTAGTCATTTAGTTGTGTCCAACTCTTCGTGACCGCATGGACCAGAGCACGCCAGGCCCTCCTGTCTTCCATTGCCTCCCAGAGTTTGGTCAAATTCATGTTGGTAGCTTCGAGGACACTGTCCAGCCATCTCATCCTCTGTCGTCCCCGTCTCCTCTTTCCTTCACACTTTCCTAACATCAAGGTCTTTTCCAAGGAGTCTTCTCTTCTCATGAGATAGCCAAAGTATTGGAGCCTCAGCTTCAGGATCTGTCCTTCCAGTAACACTCAGGGTTGATTTCAATGAAGCAGAAGTAGATGTTTTTCTGTAACTCTCCTCTCCCCCTTCGAAATCCAGCTTTTACTTCTGGGGGTTCTCAGGCCACATACTGCTGAAGCCTACCTTGTAGGATTTTGAGCATAACCTTGCTAGCATGTGAAATGAGTGCAATTGTACGGTAGCCTTTCAGATACAGAGTTCTGAAAGGACCACAGCCTAAGTGCTATACTAACTAAATAACTAACTAACTAAAAAAATAAATAAATAAATATTGGAGTTATCCACACACCCCACCACGGCCAGTGATGGCACTTAGGCTGTGGTCCTTTTGGAACTCTGTATCTGAAAGGCTACTATACAATTGCCGTACCGTACATAAAAGCTTTCGATACAGTTGAAAAGTCCCTGCACACAGATTCTACTGTTTCAAATGAGATAAATTTACACAGCAGTTTGTTGTTGTCACGTTGACTTAGTAGAAGAGTATTCCACTGTCGCAGGACTTGCTATTTCAATTGAGGTTTCATGCCTTCAGCTTTGCTTTGTTTCAGGACGGGAAAGAATAGACTATTATGGATAGGGGCATCTATCTACTTTTCCCACCTAGGAAGAACTAACGAAGAGAATTATTAGACAAGATTGCCATAGACTAGAAATGTCAGGATAATGTGCGAGGGGCTAGAAGTGTGTTTATGAAGGAAATATCTTCCGTGTCCAACAGGTTACAAAAAGCAGAGCCTGGGAAAATTACCTTTTTTGGACTCAATTCCCAGAATACCTAAAACAGCATGGCTAATGGCCACACAATCCTGGGATATTTTGGAATTTGTTGTACAAAAACATCATTTTTCTAAGGCCTAATGGGGAAAAAATACTTGTCTGATGCATTATAAGTGATGCATTATTTATTTATTTTGTCCATATTGTGCTTTTTCTCCGGGCAGTTCAAAATGGTTGCTCTCCTCCCCCTCCATTTTGTCCTCACAAAAATCATGTGTTGGACTTTACGCTAAGCAACAGTGATGAGGTCACCTTATGACTTGATTGAAGATCTTGACCTGGGTGGGTTTTTTATTTTGGTCTTTTTGTTGCAATCCAACCATGACATAAAGTTATCATTTTCCCATCATACAGTTGGGATTTCAGTACATAAGTATCTTGTGCAAGGATTTGCAGCATATTAGGTCGAGATTTAGTAAAAGGAAAGAGAAAAAGAAAGAAAGATTAAAGAGCTTTACTCTTTATCACAAAATATTGAAGCTATAGTTTCTACTGGTGGACCTCCTCTTATTTGACCTGCAGCCTTGTTACAGAGTTTGAGATTAAAGTCCTACTTAAACATTCAAACCTGTGTATGATAAATACAGAAGGAGGGAAAAAACATTAATGTCGCCATCCCTGGTTCTCATTCTCTCTTTCTCTATGTGTGGAGGGCAGCAGGTCTGAATAGAAGGGCCTTCATTGCTCATGGAGAAGCCATCCAGTTCAGACTGTTGCTGCCAACATGGAGAAGAGTGACAAAAGTGATGGTGGATCTACTGTACTCCCACTTCCTCATTTGTTTGCTATATAGGCGGAGTGATTGAAAAGGGCTGTAATGTGTAGCAGATCCATAGGCTTTGAGTATCAAACCCTTTTGGTGCCTCCTTCTCAAACTATTCAAGAAGTGTGTGCTCCATGGAAACAGGCAATCTGGAGATTCATTGCTCTTAATTCTTAGGCTACTGTTCATGTCCATGAATTGCAACTTTCATGGAAGACTTTGTCTTGAGATGCCCAGCACAGTGATATAAGGCACAATCAGTGTGTACTTGAGTCTTGAACTAGAAAAACATATACAACAATATCAGTTTTTCTCATCTTATTTGAGAAGGGGATGACAGCAGCACAGGCACACCTGTGGGTGGGCCCTCTCCCCTTCTCCCAGGCCCTGGGGAATTCAAGACAACAAGCTCCCTGGTAGACCTGGAAAAATCCTTCTGGGCTGACTGGGTGGCAGGAGAACCCAAGATGCTAGAGTGGGGAAACCAGATAGAAGCCCTGGAAAAGGAAGCACCAGTTGAGAACCTGCGCCAGGAGGAGCATCTCCAGGAGGAGAAGGGGAAGGAGGGCCCATGGGAGCTGCAGGATATAAGGGAGTCATTGGAGACTGAGACAAAGGAGAGAATTGAGCAGGGGCTCAAGACAGGAGTCCTGCTATCAGACAAGGTAGTAGAGGAGATAGAGGAAGAGGGAGCCTGGGGAGATGCCATAGAGCACCCAATAAGGGCTTCTATGTGGAAGAAAAGTCTTCAGAAGAATCTGAACCTCAATTTTGTATGTGTGTGTGTGTGTGTGTATACATATATATACATACACACACACATCTCCACTTTACCCTTTGGCATCCTTAGTTGCACCAGGACCTTGGTCTCTTCAGAAGAATCTGAACCTCAAGTGTGTGTATATATAAGAGGATCCCTGGACCAAGGTCCTGGTGCAACTAAGGATGCCATCAGGGATCCTCTTTATATAAGGTCCTAGTGCAACTAAGGATGCCAGAGGGTAAAGGGGAGAGGTGCCCTAACTCTCAACCCCATCCCCATCCCAGTTACTGGGGTGAATGGAAGGGCCGGATATAGAGAGACATCATGCCTAAGAATGTAGGCCAGGAGAACCAACTGCCACCCAGCTAAGACACCAGAGATGACAGAGGCAACAGGAGTGCCAGTGCCAGACCTCAGAGGGACAACCCCACCAGAGAAGCTGGGACAGTTATTGTTGCCCCAGGTACAGGCATGTTAACTTTCCCTGATGTGGGCTTCAAGGTGTTGGTCGGCATGAAGAATCCCACTGAGAGAAAAAGGACTTGGAACTCCTCTGGTGATGTTAACCTAACCAGAGGGTCCTCAGACGTGGACCTAAACCTGAGGGAAATGCAGGGAACTGTCCTGAAGGCAGTCACATGGTCTACTTGTTACCCCCATCCCAGTCGCAATAAACCACATTTGTATTAAGCTACCTTTGGCTTTGTTTTTGGATTTGGGAATGGAGGAATGAGTGACTAGGGGCAGTGGGGCTCACAGAGCCAAAAGGAAGGAAAATTTTTTTTGATTCTATACACCGTCATCATGCCAGTCCCTCATTTAAAAAAATGCCAGTGTCCATGAAAATGAATATTCTCCCATTGTGGGTTTGAAGTATCAGGGAGAGAAAAAAAAAATACATGTGTATGTTCTTGAAAACGATTTCAAAATATCTTAATGGAGAAATTGTGATTCTAGACTTAAGCAGCAGCTTGGTAGTCCCAGATGGAATTCTAAGGAACTTGATGGACACCCACTCCCCCCATCGCCCGGCAGCCCCAGCCCAGAAGAGCTTTTCACATGAAAGCACATCTGCTTTTTTCTTTTCAGTAATCTGATGAATATGTCTATACAGTACTTGGCAAACAATAAATACCCAAGGCTTAATGAATGCAGCTTTGACAATAAACTCTTAGGAATAAGAGTTTATATTTTGTTGACTATACAACACAGGAAGACAAATTATGGGAGCTGCTGTCTAGCAATATGACATATTCAGCACTTCAGCTAACTTACTTGGTTGAAAGAGAAGAGGGGGTGGGGAAAGATGGTGGAGTAGAAGAATATAGTTTTCAGGGCTTGGAGGTAAATATTTACTGGTCATGTGTAATTAATTTCTTTACCTAGGAACTGAGGTGTCACTACGTTAGATTACAAGTCTACATTAATGAGGGAAAGCTGCTTTTACAGTAAAACAGATGGTAAAAAAAGTCATATGTTCCTGTTATTAAATGTGAAAACGAGGGTTTACTAGATCATTAGAATCTCACAAACAAGCTTTTGAGTCCTTCAGCCTCATCAGGCTGGGCATTATACAGACTCTGAGTGGATGGCGAATGAGGAGAGAAACAGAAAAATCTCCAAAATCCTCTTGGCCAGACATTGAAGCCAGGTTTTCTGGTTCAAAATAAGTTCCAATATATCTGCAACTTTTGTAGAGCCATATTGAGGTAGCTGGTAGATTTCAGATTCTTTTCCTATTGTTTTACAGGACCATTATAATTGTTATATTTCATAGTTGAGTGATGCAGCCTTATTAAATGGTAGAGATATATTACATAGTTCAAGCGTTTCACCCTGCACTTTACGCTGCTGTCTCGTGCTCTCTTGTGGGTGTTGAAGCACTAATAAGATCAACGAGAAGAGTGTGTGTTTTGAGCCACAGGCCAGTAGCTTGCAATTTTCCAATGTTACTGTTTAAATTAACAAACAATTATTTTAGTTAAATAGAAAAGTAAGTAATTACTTTAAATCCATACTACTTCAAATTGTACTACCAACTGTCCTTTGGGAGAATTTGGAAATATAGCTGCTCCTAATTATTCTCAAGTAACTTCCCAAGCTCTTGTTATTCCTAACATGTTGCTTTATGTTGCCCATGCTTGGATAGATGCAATGGACTATAAAGTTTTGTTGCTTTGGAGATTTTACATGCAAAATAAAAGCATCATTTAAAGTCTTCTTTTACAGGGATTGATTTAAGCTAATGGTTCGCTCTTTAAATTGAAACAGCATCATGTTAATGAATACAATCGGAATTCATCTTGAATGATTCCAGGGTTTGAAATAAAGCCACAGCTATGTGTTTACTCCTCACAGTAAGCCAAAACTCCTAGCTTTTTCTGCCTTAGTGTAAATGAGGCAGGGTACTTGCTGCATGAAGCCCAATTTTTAATGATTTTTGCTCTCGAACATGTGTATAACATTGAAAACTATATTTTTGTACAAATTTAAATTACTTTAAATGTAGCTATTTATAGTGACATTTAAATCATTTGTTAAATGATTAATTAATGATCTAATAGATTACCCAATAAGTGAAATAATAAATTAATATAATTAATATTAAATTTATTAATGTAAGTGGATTGACATTCTTTAACAACTCACCAGCAATGCTTTGGCATAGTATTGTTTACAAGCTCTGATTAGCTGGGAATTCATTTCCTGCTCAAATTTTCCAGAGCTGTAGAACTTATATATATAAGTTCTATTTTTGCACAAAAATCCTGGTAAAGCTCTCCAAAGTTGTGCTCAGAACTGGACTTCGGAAGTCCAAAAATCTATCTAATATATATACAGTGGTGCCTCGCTTAACGTTTGCTTCGTTTAACGTTTTTTTCGCTTAACGTTTATTTTTTCAGAGGCAGATTGTGCTTCGTATAACGTTTTTCCCTATGGGCGATTTTCGCATAGCGTTTTTGGGACCATGCTTCGCTTAACGTTTTTGGTTTTAGGTCCCCTGCTTCGCTTAACGTTTTTTTTGTTTTCAATTTAAAAAGTGTCTTAGAAGGGTCCAAAACGGTTCTAAATGCTTGGATTCGTTAGAGGACCCCTTAAGTCATGTGCAAACCTGATTTGGCTTTGATCTGACGTTTCGTTAATTTTTTGTGAATTTTTGTTTTTTGGCCCATAGGAACCAATGGACCTGTCAAAATCTGACAGCTCCATGCTTTCCTATGGGGGAGAAAACAATTTACAAAAAATTAACGAAAGTTCAGATCAAAGCCAAATCAGGTTTGCACACAACTTAGGGGGTCCTCTAACGAACCCAAGAATTTAGAACAGTTGCTGAGTCTTCATTAATTTTTTGTGAATTTTTTCTTCCCCCATAGGAATTAATGGAGCTGTCAGATTTTGACAGCTGTCAAAAGTTGGGGGAAAAAAATTCACCATTAATTAACGAAAAGTCAGATCAAAGCCAAATTAACTTTTGCATCCGTTTTAGAGGGTGCACAAGCTAATCCAAGCATTTAAAACCATTTTGACCCTTTTATGACACACTTAATTTTGCAAAAATTGACTTCGCAAAGCCATTGAAACATATTGAGTCAGCTACAATACATTCCAATGGAGGATACATTGTATCGTTTAACGATGTTTCCTATGGGTTTTTTCGCTTAAGGACGGCAATCCGTGCCTATTGGAACGGATTAACCGGTTTCCAATGCATCTCTATGGGAAATGGTGTTTCGCATAAAGTTTTTTTCGCATAAGGTTTTTTTTTTGGAACCAATTAAAAACGTTATGCGAGGCACCACTGTATATATCTATAGATTTTTGGACTTCCAAAGTCCAGTTCTGAGCACAACTTTGGAGAGCTTTACCAGGATTTTTGTGCAAAAATAGAATGATTTCTAGAGGATTTACTCATAAGTATATTGCAAACCTAACCCAGGAACAACTGGTTGCAGGTCAAGCTCTGTGGACTGGAACTGTGAACTGCTGCAACTCAGGATCTTTGGTAATATCCAAACATAATAAATGGTGAATGAATTCCTATTACTGTTAACTGGATTAACCATTCAAACCCCATGATTACTCTACAGATGGGCATGTTCCTTTTGGCTCACATCATAATTGATTTGGAAATTTGTTGAGCTGAGCTAATTTATTCACAAATCAAGACTGCTTCATTTCTTATGTTGTAAGCCACCCAGAGACCTTTGGGTAGTGTGGGCAGCATATAAATTAAATAAATAATAATAATAATAATGTCCAAATTGAAGCTAATATCTGCCCCCAATCCAAAGCTGCTAACTTTTCCAGCATTTTAAAAGCAGCCTGCTGTGCAAAACCAACTGAATCACTTCTCTGTTGCATTGCAGGCCTGGGCTCTGCTTTGAAGACTTGCCTGCTCCTAGTAAAACTACAGTATTTAATTTCTGGAGGTGCAATTCCCCCTGCCAAAGGCATCTCCCACTCAGCTCCTGCTGTTCCACAGTAACCCTTCTCACTAGCCTCTAAAAATGTTACCAGAAATGTTTCCAAATGTGACATTATCCAAAACATTTAGTAACCAAAAACTGGTTGCTTAAAATATTGGCCTGAATCTATTTGGTAGAGAACCCAAGTTAATAGGATTTGCATTACTCTTGATTCACCATTCAACAATTAGTTGAATGAGTCTGCATTAACTGGGCCTAAACTTAAGATTTAGACCTGCATTCTTTCTGTTACTTTCCTCAAGCTTTTGTTGCCCTGCAGATTTCAGAGGCCTGTGTGGAAAAACAGATTTTCTGACCTTCTATAAGATCTGTGCACCTCTGCAGCTAAGACAGTGTAGTCATTCCAGCAATTCCAAGACTCTGCATTAGTGCTGGCATTGCTTACTTGGCAAGTGTGGGATGTATATGAAGAAAATGCTTAATACATATAGGATTTGAAGAAAAATGCAAGAGATTCACAATTTTCTCTTTTCCTTCTCTAGGCATTTATGCATTTGGACTTTTTGCAACAGATATCTTTGTAAATGCTGGACAAGTAGTAACTGGGAATCTTGCACCACATTTCCTTGCACTTTGCAAACCCAACTACACTGCACTTGGATGCCAGCAGTATACTCAGTTTATCGGTGGTGTAGAGGCGTGTTCTGGAAACCCAGATCTTATCATGAAAGCCAGGAAAACATTTCCATCCAAAGAAGCAGCACTGAGTGTCTATGCAGCGACATATCTGGCAGTAAGTAAACCAGGCAGCTTCTTTTAACAGTGTTCCGTGCAACATTTTTCTCTGTTGTCACATACATTCTCCATGTGCTAGTTTTGCTCTTTTTACAGTTTAACAGTGGAAAGCATTGCCAATTTTATCCTTTGCAGTTGCTCAGGCTAATGAAGATGAGGCTGTCAGGATCACGGTCATCTGCCTCTCCCTTCTACTGACTGCATGTTGGACTGTCTTATGTATAGAGAGCATAACAGGCCCATATATATTATGACTCCCACAACAGCAACACTGACTAGGAGATTCTGAGAGTTTTCCATCTTCTGTGCTATGTGCATGGAATCATGGTAGGAAGCCTACATTACATATGCCTTGGTGGGAATCAAGAAAGGAAGTATGACTGGCTAAATATGACTTAATTTAGCTCTTCTTTTGGTTCTATCCCTTCAGCATTAGGCTTTACAGATACACAAATCAGCTGTGTTGCATCTCAGAGATTCTTAATGATTGTTCAGACTATTTCTGTGTAGCTCTGATGAAGCCCTTTGCATGTACACTGATCAGCCACAAAATTAAAATCACCTGCCTAATATCATGTAGGCCCTCCTCGTGCTGCCATAACAGCTCCGACATGTTAAGGCATGAATTCCACAAGACATCTGAACATGTCCTGTGATATCTGGCACCACAACGTTAGCAGTAGATCCTTTAAGTCCTGCAAGTTGCAAAGTGGTGCATGGATCAGATTTGGTGTTCTAGCACAACCCATAGATGCTCCATCAGATTGAGATCTGGGGAATTTGGAGACCAAGACAACACTATGGAGTCTTTGTCATGTTCTTCAAACCATTCCTGTACAATTTTTGCAGTGTGGCAGAGTGCCTTGTCCTGCTGAAAGAGGCCACTGGCATCAGTGCCATGAAGAGGTGTACATGGTCTACAACAATTTCTAGGTAGATGGTACATTTCAAAGTAGCATCCACCTGAATGCCAGAACCCAGCAGCACATTGTCCAGAGCATACCACTGCCTCTGCTGGCTGGTCTTCTTTCCATAGTGCATCCAACCATCCACCTGAACTAAAAGAAAAGATGGTTCATCAGACCAGGCAACTTCCTTCCATCACTCCATGGTCCAGTACTTACACTCACATTCCCATTGTAGGTGCTTTTGGCAATGGACAGTCATGGGCATTCTGTCATGGGCATTCTGACCAGTCTGCAGCTGCACAGCCCCATACTCAGCGAACTGCGATGCACTGTGTGTTCTGACATGTTTCTGTCATGGCCAGCATTAGGTTTGTAGCTTTTCTGTGATCAGATCAGATGGGCTAGCCTTCGCTCCCCATGTGTGTCAATGAGCCTTGGGCACCCACAACCCTGATGCCAGTTCCTTGGTTGTCCTTCCTTGCACCACTTTTGGTAGGGTACTTAGCACTGCATACTGGAAATACCCCACAAGACTTGCTGCTTTGGAGATGCTCTGAACCAGTCGTCTAGCTATCACTATTTGGCCCTGAGATCTTTTCACATGCCTATATTTCCTGCTTTCAACACATGAAAATCAGGAAGTGACTAGTCACTTGCTGCCTAATTTATCCCACCCCTTGAAGGTGCCTTTGTAACAATATAATCACCTGTCAATGGTTTTAAAGTTGTGGCTAACCATTGTATTTGGGAGGGGTGAATAGAGTCTTGATCTCCTCTGTATAGGATACTATACAGTCTCCATAGAACACTACAGTCTGTCTACTTGGCTTTCACATGATCTGTAGCAACAATACAGAACATTTTATTGATGTTTCATGTAATAATTTCAATAATTTTGCAACAGCTTTTTAAAGGTAAGTTAAAATGTGTATGTTGCATCAGAAGACAATCTGTCAATTGCCCCTTGCTTAATTGTTTCACTCCATGTTGTAACTCCTTTCAGGCTGAGCAGAAGATTCCCACAGTCTACCAGCATAAACAGAGTGCCACTAAGACTCCAGATCCAGTCCATAGACTGTTCCTTAGCATAAGAAAATCTGTAACTTTCAGTTCATTCCTAAATGGCAAATAAAACTTCCCCACCATGATTTTCAGAGGCATGTGGAGATGCACCAAGCCAGCATGCATTCACCCCTCCAAGAATTGCAGTGGGAACTCTTTCAGTTAGGAACAGACTGAAAGTTACACATTCTCTTACGTTAAACAATGGGATTTCAGCCATAGAATTAGAGTTGTAAGGGGTGTTGTTGACCATCTGGCCCTTCCTGCTACTCAGTGTAGGACATTTAGAATGAGAGTCTCAAATTAAATAGCTTGGATGGGGTAATTCTATCTATCTAACTGGTTCCTTTAATGAATTGTACCATCATTTATCATCAATGAGTAACTGAAGCCAGGAGATAATGCCTTCGGTAAGTCAACTTGGATGTGAGCTCACAGTAATGTAAGATTTGAGCAAATGATTTTCTAGCCCACAGTTTATCATCTTATTCTACTAGCAACTCTGCTGCTGTAGGTATCAAAGGGATAGGTTAAATTCCAATATTGCAGTGTAAATGTAGAGACATTCAACAGATGTAGTTAGGAGGAGTCATCCTATCACTTCAGTTTAAATTTTGTTTTTCACAATATGAAGAACAGTGTCTTTTCCACAGTAATATTTATTCTTTTTTTCCAATTTTCCAATTGCAAAATTAATTCATTTTTAATATTCTTCTTGTTATAAGATGATTATTATTATTTATTGATTGATAGTATGTCTGTACAAAGTGGCAGGATAGCTCAGCAGTTTAGGTATCTGGCTGTGGAGCCAGAGGTTGTGAGTTCAATTCCCCATTATGCCCTCTTCGAGTATAGCCAACCTGTGTGGCTTTGAGCAAGCTGTACAGTCCCAGGGCACCCCCAGAAGAAGGGAATGGCAAACCATGTAACCAGAATTGATTTGATGACACATGATTATGTCTGTACTGCCTTTTTTGTTGTTGTTTTTTGTTTTGTTTGTTTTGCCAAAGAGCCAGCAATGTACAGGGACACTCAAAAGTCCTCTTGGTTACTTCTGCTGGGAGAAAAGTGGAGTATAAATTAAAGAAAGTGGAAGAGATAGATCCATGAAAACAAAAAAGAGTGCTAGATTTAAAAATAAGTAACGATTTTCCATTCCTCTAACCAATAATCAATCAATCTACAGTCAATGGATCAATAAAATCAAAGTGTGACTGCTGCCGCCACCATTGCTCAGGGTGGGGTGGTAGGGAGGGCACCCTCTGCCCTAGGTTCCATGAAGTCAAGGTTTTCGTTACTACCTGAACTCAGCTTTATTAAGGTGGGTGAAATCCACATGGGGGCTGAGTTAGCTCCACTAGGTGCCCTAAGTTCCATGAAGTCATGGTTTTCGTTACTACCTGAACTCAGCTTCATTAAGGTGGGTGAAGTCCACAGTCCACATGGGGGCTGAGTTAGCTCCACTAGCCTCATGCTGTCTCCAGCCCAAGCCTGAATTACTGTCACTGGGTGGACACAGTCCACAGTCAGTGACTGGGATCTGGTTTTCCACACTTACCCCAACCAACTGACAGGCCTTGAAGAGGGCTGGTAGTGTTAGGCCATTACAGGCTGCCATCTCCCCCAAGCCCCCCCTTTTTTGTGCTTATAGTGGCTCTGCTGAGAGCACTCCTGCTCTCTGCCTCCTTTGGGTTGGGGCCGGGTCTGGGAGCCTAGCAGATTCCCCTTGGTCACTAGTGGGCTGGTACTGGTTGCAGACTAAAAAACAACATGCCTCCTCTGCACCCTTAGAAGAATGAAACCAGACCCATTCCCCAGTCCAGCGGTTCTCAGTCATCAGTGCGCAGTCTTTCTCAGAGATGCATATAGAGGCATTAGAAGCCTGATGTTCTCTAACACTTCACTCAATTCCTGCATTCAGATGTCTTCCCAGATGAAATAGCGTTATGCTTCAGAGGATGTGACTTACATTGGATTAGTAAGAGTGCACAAATCATGCTTCATTAACTTATCCTTTCACCTTCAGGAAAGGAATTAACCCTTCAGATGGACCAAAATAATTGACTTAAGACTACAGTCACCTATGTGCTTGCTTGGATATAAGCTCAGTCTAACTCAGTGGGAATTATTTCTCAGTAGATATGTATAGGATGTCACATTAAGGAAAGATCAGTGGGATTCTTTTAGCATCAGGTTACATTTGTCCTAAATTTAGTGACTGTGTTTCATTCTGTCATAGGGACTTTTTCTCTATTTTTCCCCCGTCAACAGCTGAGTTGGGCTAGCGGAAAATAACCTATAGCTGATTTCACGCAGCTGTGCCTAGTTTCTGCTGGCCTGGTTTTATGTGGAGTCCCAAACATAATCTATGTCTTCTGCATGAGTGGAAAAGGGGCCTTGGGAGAGTGACTTGACAATACCCATGTTGACATTAGTGGGTCTTTCAAACAGCCAGAATGTGATCATGTGTTGACTCTGATGTATGCTTCATTTAGGTTTGTAGGTTGAAAGCCTTACATCTGTGTCAATGGGGAAATAAACTGTGATAGCAAGGAGATTTTGGAACGCAGATGCACTTATAAACCCATGTATACAAGTATGTATATGTGTGTGCTCATATTGAGCTATATCTGTCATTATATCTGGAATTATCTGCATGCAGTGTTATGCAGCACCATCAATTATTTTCTTTCTGCTGATTAGAGACCCATGATTAAATCTGGAAGCTTCTAGTTAATCACTTCCATACTTTGTCTGGGAAACTATGTTACCAATTTCAGGGGGGGGGAAATCAGGATACTAAACCAATTTACAGCAATCAGAAGTAGTAACATGATAGAAAGGTATGAAGGACTAGTTGGTTCTTCTGATTTCTTAGAGGGGATCTTTAGATTATTTTAAGTGTTTGGGATTTAAAAGATAGAGAAAAGCAACTTCAATGTGCTTTCAAAGATTTCCTAGCATGCTGTTGTGCTTTATTCTTCCATGCTTATAAAAATTCAAGCTTTTAGTGAAAAGATACAGCACT